AGCCCGGGCTGCACGGGGGAAGAAATGGAGCTTAATAAAACCGGTGTGAAAACGCCAAGAGTGGTGCTGCGTGGTTTCTGCCCAAAACAGAGCCCTCTTGGTCCTAAAAATCCCCCAGGCTTAGCATCAGTGAGCAGCATCGCTGCTCAGGGTCACAGTAAAGGAGCACACCCCCCTCCTTGGTTTTATTTTCTCAAGATGAAACATGGCACCCCAGTTTCTGAAGCATCTTTTAATCGGAGATAAGAGTAAACAATGGTATAAAATGGTAACAACTCAAGAAGTTTCCAAAATTCAGCTCATGATTGACACAGGTCTTTCCTTGATTGCCCCCAAGTACCATTAAGTAAAAAAAAAAACAAAAAAGCAAAGCTTACAGCACGGCTGCAGTTCCAGCCCCGTGATTCCTCCACACCGTTGCAAACTCAGAGCAGCAACATTCATTTCTGGAGTTCAGACAAGCAGGGCTGAAGCATCTGATTTTGTGGAAAGCTAAACACAGTCCACCAGGACAGGTCTGAGCTCAGCCCGCTGGATTCAGGAGGTCCAGAAACATCTCCAAAACCACAACTTGCAACAGAGAGGAAAAAGAAATTTAAAAGGCAGGTATACTGTGCTAGTTGTCTTAGGGGCAATAACCAACCCCCCTCCCTCCTTTCAGAAGGCTGCAGTTGAGACTTCAGAGGGGCTTGCAGCACCAAAATAGGCAGCAGACGCTGGCCTGGTCCCTCGTGACAGCAGAGAGAGGAGCTGTGACCTCCCTAGGGTGTAGCACCCCGATGGGAAGCAAGGACGATGTTCCTGCTGCAGCACAGCCCCGATCAGAGCTTGGCCGCAGCCCGGGGCGCTCGCAGGACTGAGGGAAAGTCTGTGCTGCAGCTCGGCCGTGGCACCACGGCCCCCGCGCTCTCCGTGCTCTGAAGTGGCTGCTGGAGTGCGGCGAGGAGAGATGCTGAACCTGCACTGGAGCAAACCGTCACCAAAACGGCCCCGTAACCCTCCTGTGGTCGGCAGCCAGCCCAGTCCAAACTTGTTCCGCCTTGAGTTGATCCCAGTAAAAACCAGTTTGTCACAAAGATACCTCTGCAAATACCGACGGGTCTAAGATTTAAGTACAAAATGGCTTAAAGTGAAATCTTGGGGTTTGCCCCAGCCATCGGCTTTATCCCTTCTGTTGTGCAAAGCCTCTGACTGGTCTGGATTGTGCCCATTTCAGATTTGCTGGAGGTTTCTGGGGAAGGGGTATCTTGATTAAAGATCACTTGGGAATGTGGAGCTCAACACATCTAGATATTTAAAGAGAAGTTCGTGTCTGCTCAAGGCCAACCCACAGCCTTACTCCTCTTCTGTCCACTGGCCACTAGCCACGTGGCCATTAATGCGGTTGGAACCGTTACTCGAAGTGCTGAAAACTCCTTTTGTGCTGTTGGAAGTCACGTCCTCCTCTTCAGAGCTGCTCTCCACATCGCTGCGGTCATCTTTCGATACCTAAAGATGTCAAATGAAATTCGGTAGTGGGAAGGGGAGAAGGGAAGTTGAAACAGTCACAGAAAGCAGCACTTGGAAGGCTGTGTCCCCTCCAGTCACAGCCACCCTCCACATTTGATCCTCAATCACCTCAAACTCGCAAGGAGTCGCCACATTGAGAATGTGAGACACGGACACTGAAAATGGCAATTTGGAAAGTTCCATTTTCCAAATCCTCTGCACACCTGTGAAAGCACCACGCTGCTTTTGCTGCCACCAGATGAGAGGACACTGCAGATCTTTGGTTGTTCATACCCTCCAAGAGCTTTCTAGATTGGTTAAAGGCTGCTTTTCCAAACAACAAATTGGTTCTGAGTCACAAAACATCTCGCACCATAATCCTCAGTGGGTATAACAACCAAAACACATTTATAGATCAGTTTTAGAGAGAACATTTTGTCCTCCAGGGAGCAGGTTTGATATTTTAAAAATTAACCAGCTACATTTATGACATTACCGTTTGCACAAAGTGCCTCCCATTGTCACAGCTTGTGGCTCACACACGAGAACTCATTTCCAAGCAGAAGCCGGTTTGGACAGCGGGCTGCAGCACGACAACAACCCCCTACCCCAGCAAACACCCGGTGTTCAGGGACAGAAGCAGCATCTCGGCCCAGAGACCCAGATCTGCTTTACAGTTCTGCCTTTAGTTAACAGGCTGGCTGCAAATGCAGCTTATTTTGATTCGCACGTGGCATTTTGAGCCTTGTGAAGCAGATGCAGGCTCACTTCGCTGCCGGCTGCTCCGAGCGCCGCAGGAGGGCACTGCACCAGCACCGCAGAGCCAACGGCCCCAGCAGGTGAAGGGAAGAGCTGACGAGCCCAGCCCTGACTGCAAACAAGCACCTTGGCTGGTGGCGGGGTGCCAGAGCCATAAACTCACCCGTGCTGAGCAGCGATTGCGAGAGCTGGCTGGGCTTTGCCTACCCCAAGGCAGGCTGGAGCACTTCTGCCTCTGCAACTAATGGCCCTCGTTGACTTAATGTACGAGCACTTTGCGGCTAGCGCCTTCCCAAGGGTTTTGAGATTTCTTTCTACTCTGCTTGCTTTGTGTTGGGGTTAGAGCTTTTGAACGGCAGCAGGCAGGAAGTTTTTGAACTGAAGGGAAGATGTGGCAGAAAGCCAGGTAAAGTTAATGATCTCCAGGATTGGTTTTGACGGGCCCTGTTGGATGTACTGGCTTCTGTCTGCTGCCAGAACTTTTGATATCTTTTACCCGCTCTCGTGCTGCGTTGGAAGTTCAAAGGGTCACTGGCAGGAAGCAGAAATCCCTTGAAATTTCGCCCATTATTTGGGGGACAAGTGACTGTTTTACTCCCATTTGCAAAAAGCATTGCATTCCTCCCGTCCTCTGCTCCTCAGCACAGCGTTAATGAGCACTAGAGACAGATATCAGAGTCTCTGTGGGCGTATAGAAGCAGAAAGGTGAAGGTTACACAGCCAGCTGACAGCAGATAAGAACAAACCCCAGCACTCTGCTTTGACCTTTGGAAAAACCTGCATTTTAGCATAGTGTCAGAACCAGCGCTGTATCAACCGGGGAGAGAAACACCTTAAGAGAAGGCATCAGCCATCTAAAGCCCCAAGAGCATAGCTTTGCTTTTGTCTTAGCCTTGAAACAGACTCAGATGTGTTTTGGTGAACAAACAGAAGCACAGATCACACTTACATGCAAAGGATGAAAGTGTCCAGCTCCAATCTGGCACAGAGAAAAGGAGAAAAGAATGAAGGAGACAGAGCTTAGAGTCCTTTCTCTGGCTAGGTCACCTGGACAGGAGAGAACCAAGGAAAGGAAAAAGATGCAGACCTCAGGATACAGAAACAGCTGCACAGGCAGAAAATAAAGACATTTCCAGTAGCAGCTGTGGGGAACAGATGAGAAGATCATGTGCATACTCTGAAACATGCTTCCCCTGCCACAGACTACTACAATATAAATCTTTCCCAAGGTTACATTCCATGTGTAGGGGCAGCTAAGAAGTCAAACACAAAATGATGTAGAGCTATGAGAGAAACTCAGATCAGAATAGCAAATACCTGATTTAAAAAACACCCCCACATTTGTGCTATGAAATCAGCTGCTGTTCTCTGGGAGAGCAAAGGAAGTGGCTTCTCTCGATGGGGTGCCCTGTCTCGTGCTACTTCCGTTGAACTACACCTTTTTGCTTGGCAACCGAGGTTGCAGCCGAAAGTCAGCACTGTTCATTCTTAGGGCATTACCTGTTGCTAACCAACTGCTGTAGCTTCACCCTCCCTCTCCCTAAGACTCCCAACACAAATTCAAATTAGAATCCTCAGCACTGAAGCCAGACTGCACCCCATTAGCCCAGTGATGACCAGCAAACTCCACTGCGTTTCTGATAACCCTTTCTCCTCTGCGTGCTGCAGCTCAGTGCCAGAGCACTGGCAGCCAGAAGCCTGCATTAGTGCTAACAAGTGGAAGATGCACAACCCTCATCGCATCCCAAGAGCCGTATGTTGTTCAAAAAAGAGCCTGCTACCACCTTAAAGTACAGAACAAGTCTGTCATCGTCACTATTATTACAACACCTGAATGGACTGGAAAATGGTGTTATTTCTCTATGTGATGAGACCAGAGAGAAGAGCATCCCTGCCTGTGTATACACCTGGCACCTCAAGTCTGCAGAGCAGCCAAGGTGAGAAACCAACCGTTCCACAAAGCGCTCCTGATGCAATTCCCTGGAGAGCTGATACCAGCCCTCGCTGAAGGGCCCAGTTTCTCACGATTGCTCAACAGGGCTTGTAGGAAATAGCAGCCGAAAGAGTCAGCAGCAATCTTACCTTTCCCCTCACGAGGGCCTTGTAGGCAGTGCGAATGATGAGATAAGACCAGATGATATGCAAGAACTGCAAGGTTACCAAAAGCCCATTGAAGAGCCACCATGAAGGGTAAGGACCAATCAACTCCCAGCTTTCAAACAGGGTTGTGTTCAATATCCTAAAAGAGATCCAGAAACACATTACAGATGGGCTGTGCTGGTAACATGGCTTCCAGCTCTAAATTAAGAGGACTGGCCAGATGCACAACAGTTTGTATCTCATTTGAGCATCTGTTGCTTTGCAGCGATGCAGCCGGTCTCTTGCCAGAGTCAGGAGACAGACTAAAGCTAATGAGAAACATTTGAACTGAGCAACAAACAGGAGAAGATGTGAATGTTCTGCAATTTGGTTACACACACAGATCTGCTGCCAACTTCCTTCTCAAAAGCGTCAGCGTTTATAGTTACTCGACAGGAAGTGATGTCAAGCTGCACTGGTCATCAAAACAACGGTTAACACGTTCATACTTGGGCAGTCTTCACCCATATTTCAAGATCAAGGAGGAATTTTGTTCCCAGCAGCCCTCCCTCCTCGTGCGTTATTCTCTCTCCTCAGATTTTTTATGGATTCCTCCTGCCAAGCTGGAGGCCTAGAAACTGCTTTATGGACAAAGCTTTGTGCTTGCTTTCATTACTGTTTTGCTGTTCTTGTCGCTGGGAGTTATTGCCAGTACTTAAGTAATTTAATAAACACTTTAGGTTTTATGAAGGAGAGAGGTACGGAGAGACCTTTAAAGACGTCATTAATTTCACATGGCTTTTAGCATTTCACAAGAAAAACAAGCCTTTCAAAGAAGAACCCAAGTGGCCCAAAATGCAGTTACAGCAACACCTATCTCACAGCCACTTTATGGATTAATTAAATGCAATTCCAGAGATCTGCTGATGTTTTGTACTGCTAATTAGGGAAGGGAATATACGTGAAGTGAAATAGCACAGGGTCTGCAACACCACTGCAAGCTTGTCAGATTTCTCTGCAAAGTTCAGGAATTACATTACAGCCAATGGAAAATACATTAAAGATTTATAGGACTGTTGAGCAATAGCACGATGCAAGAGCATCACCTCATGGCAGACAATAGCAATAAAAAGAATGACAGCTCACTCATCTGTCACGGGAAGAAGCCTATGAAGACGTAATAATTAAAGCTCTTTCTTATCCACGCTCCTCTGATGCATTTACTGGAAAATAAGCAAGAGCTTTAATTGTAACCTTGATACCAAAGTGTACTTCTTGCACCTGCCTACCATCAAGGCACCCAAAAAGAACGGGAATGCAAGCTGTCCATTGCCTAGGAAATCAATATATGCAGCAAAACTGAAATAAACTGAGTAATAACCAGGTGTAACCAAATTTTCACACCAACAAGACATGGTAACAGCTCATCAACAGAAGAACCTCTCCAAGCCTGACCTACTGAGGTGAGAAGGAATCTCATTATAGGATGATTAGCTATAAGCCATTCGGCCAGGGCTTTACCTCCTAAGAAACCCAAGACCTATTTCAGGCTCTGAACAGTCACGACACAAGGATAGGACACAAATGTCATCAGAATCTGCAATGATGACTAAGCCAGATAATCAAAACTCCAATTTACCTCAAGAGACCATGCCTTATTTGTATCTATTTCCAAAACTTCTTAAGAAAAGCAAACAACCCTTCAAGTCTTTCAGAGCTGATACTGGCTGACTTGGCTCCAGTTAATAAGCACTGTCATCGCTTTGCAGCAAGGGGAGAGGGCCCAGCTGTGCATTAGGATTCCAGTCACTTCTCACACCTCCTCAGCTGACTGCTGAGAGGTTTCTTCACGTGCCTTGGTGAACGCACTGCTCCCAACAGTACCTGGGCTGTCTGCAACTTCAGGCTGCCTTCAGGGACAGGCTGCAATGCTTACAAGAAGTCTAAATACAAAGGCTTTGCTTAAAGGATC